CAGCATGCTCACTGGTAAACCCAGCTTGTCTCCTGACAGCACCATCAACATGAGGGAGATGGACAAGAGGCAAGATCAGATTTCAAATTGGCTCAACAAAGCTGGGATCGTATCTGAGAGTGGGTTTTATGACCTGGGTGGTGTAGCACTGAAGGATTGGAATAATGATGGTTTGGAGCATCCTAGCAATGGACACAGCAATGTGTAGTGAGTCCTTTTGTATGCAATCGATTTAATGCTAATTTCTAATTTGGCCTCCCGATTTTAATTAATGCGCTGTAAATTTGGTATAATTTGTTTCTGCTGAATTTCTAATTAATAGCAAATATTGATATACGAACGAAATAGCTAGGTGTAGATACTTTAGTGTGTCAAGTGTTCTTGTTAGTGAGTGATTTCAATTGAAGCAAATCCCAGTGGTCACCAATATCAACCGTTACTATGACAGACTCGAGTGCTACAAAAGAACCCAACAATCTTGGGCGCGACTCCATTTAGGTTCCCGAATGGTTTGTTCCAATGTTCTGAGAGGAGGACGAAATGTGGTAACGCGCTTCTCGAAACTAGCAACACACGAAGAGCCTCCAGTAGTTTTCCCGCCGATTCAGCGACAGCGTTTCCCCCATATCTTCGGAGTACCTGCCACGCGATTCTGTTGACCCACAATCGCCCCTAGCCTATTGCGAGGGATTTTCCAGCACACAACACTCGAGCAAACAGCCGAACTATTACCAGAAATTTACCTGAGTAGTTCGTCCTTCGTCCGATGGAAGGAACAGCGAACGCTAGTGGTAATAGCAGCGCGGATCCAGGAAAGGAGGGCGACCGACGGGAAGAGCCTCCACTGGGCTCTAACTGCAATTCGCCAGCGCCAGGGATGGGATCCCAATCAGCCAGGGTTGGAGGATCTCAGCGTGGAACCCCAGAACCGAGAGTGGGAGACCATCAGGAAGATCAGCGGAGCCAGCGAGAAGGAGAGGCGTTTCACGGATTCTCTGCTGGAAGATGCGAATCCAGGGAGACCGGTAGAGGAGATCAGCATGTGGGGATTGGCGAGAGGGGAACGGCGAGCTGGGGAACGGCGAGCTGGGGAACGGGCAGAACGATAAGTGCAGCTCCACCTAAGATTGAAGTGCCGGATCGCTTCTCAGGAGCGCCTGGAGAGGAGCCCACGCTGAAGAATTATCTTATGATGGTGGACGACATCCGATACTGCTGGGAGAGGGAGGGGCACGATCCCATTAAATTCTTCAGAGGATTGGGGAGAACGCTAAAGGGGGAAGCGTTGACGCATTACCGGGTGGAGAGACAAGGGTTGTTGCTGCAGAGTAAGCGGGGAGTCTTCGCGCCGGCGGAAATCACCGACCGATTCCTGGAAAGCCTGCGAGAACAATTTCCGGGACATTCAGCAGATCGGATGACAGAGTTCCAAGATTTTAAGAGAGCGAGAGGAGAATCTCTGCTAGCGTACTATAATTGACTGATGGAGCTGGCCGAAGACATGGGCTGCCTGGAAGAACGGACCTTGGTGTCGAAGTTTGTGGGTGGATTGGATGAAGACCTGATGCAAGATATGCGGAGCCGACTGTACGCGCTGGGGATGAAGGCGAAATTGCGACAAGTGTATCAGGTGGGGAAAGAGGTAGAGGAGGGAAGAAGGTTCTTCGATGGGTTACGCGGAGCGAGCTCAGGAAGATCAGGCGAACGCAGGAGGCCGGCGTGGGCTGCGGTGGAAGGAAAGCGGATGGAAGAAGAACGGAGAGAAAAACCATTTGAAGACAAGCGACGGTGTCACAAGTGCGGGGAACATGGGCATCTGCGAAAGGATTGCGCCATCGACATCATATGCGACATCTGCAAAGAGAAAGGGCATTTCAGGCGGAATTGTCCCAAGGCGCCAATCTGCACCTTCTGTAGGAAACGGGGACACACGGAAGAAAGGTGCTACAGCAAGAAGGAGAAGGGGGGAGAAAAATCCGCTAGAGAACAGCAGTTGGAGAGGGAGTTAGCAAAGCTGAAGGCGCAGATGGGTAAGGTGGAGATCAGCGAAGACCCGGAGAAAGCGCTACTAGCTTGGGAAGACGAGGAAGAGGAAGATTACGGAGAGGAAGAAGCGGAGTATGGGACAATGGCCATGTCACCCAGGGACCGAGAAAGTTTGGGGTTGAGAAGTGGAGGGAAGGACGGTAGAGCGGAGCCGAAGCAGCCAATAAGAAGGACTTCAAAAGTACCTGAGGTGACTAACAAGCCGAAGGCAGCTCGGCGACACCCTGAAGAGCGACTGGTCTGCCAGCCCACGGCTCTGGTGGTGGAACCGAAGTCTGTAGTGGTACGAGGGATTCTGGTAGAAAATGCCGTGGTGGATACAGGCGTGCAAAGTGTATTGCTGGGAAGAAAGCTGGCCGAGCAGCTAAAGGCGCAAGGAGGTTGGGAAACAGTGAGACGGGGAATACTGATCATGACCACAGAGGGAGGGGCTCCCAAGTGGATGCCATGCACTAAGGATCTGATTGAGATCACGCTGCAGCCGGGGGGGGAGGGAGAGACAACGATAAGGGTGCAGTGCGGACTGACGGAATCAGACGACTACGACATTTTACTGGGAATGGAGTTGCTCTACAAGATAGAGACTACGATATGCACCTGGCAGGAGCAAGTGCTATACCGCTCGGACTTCTGGGAGGAAGGGAAGGAGCTGAGTGAGCTGCCAGTGCGTTTCATCAAGACTGAACCAAAGAAAGCCTGGAGGGCAGGAGGCATGGGGAGGGGAGGAAGTACAAGCGGTGGGAAGATCATGGAAATCCAGCCGGGGGCAAGCATAGACCAGTACAGTGTCACACTGGTGGAGCTGTTCGGGGGGCTGGGAGCCGGTTTAGCAGCAGCACTAGAGGCCGGTCTGAGGGTGAAGAAGTGGATCTATGTGGAGGTGGATCCGGAAGTCCGGAGGATGGCCTGGAAACACGCACAGGTACTGCAGCAGCGGTACCCCGCCCAGCTGAGGAAAGATGTGGTGAAGGAGGCCATGCAGAACAAGAACTGGGATGTGAAGCAGATTACCAAAGAAGATGTAAAGAATTGGGGAAAATTGGACCTGCTAGTGGCCGGCTGGGAGTGCCACGGTACCTCGAGGGCAGGGAAGGGGAAGGGATTGCAAGATGAGCGCACAGGGTTAGTGACCACGTTACTGGAAATCATGAGGTGGATGAAGGAGGTAGGAGGAGAGTACGCTTACATTCTAGAGCACGTGGATATGAATGGTGACGCTAGGGAGCCGGTCCGAGAAGTGCGGGAGCTGGTGGAAGCAGAATTGGGAAAGGGAGTTAGATGTGACGGGGCGCAGCTGGGGGCACTAACGCATCGGGTGCGGCGCTTCTGGCAAAATGTCCTACCTGAAGGGGAGCTTCGGGCTCGGTTGGCAAAAGTAGAAAGAGATGGGACTAGGATTGTGGAGGACATCCTCGAACCAGGGAGGGTAGCTGCGCCAGTGGTCAAACCAGATCACCCCCTGCAGTACCAGTGCAACCGAGTAGGGGAAGCGCGAAGAGCCTAGCCGACGTTAGTGGCTTACGCGAAAGCACGAGGCTTTATTGAGCAGGACGGGAACCCCGGCCCAGGGATCGTGTATGATCACCGTAAAGGGAAGTGGGAAGAGCCAACCGCCTTGGAACGCGAGCTAGCTATGGGGTACTTTCCAGGAGCCACTGCAGCAGAGGGAGTGGGGGAAGAGACTCGTCGAGCAGCTTTGGGCAGGGCGATTGATCAACATTCTCTGAGATGGTTGGTAAATGAGATGCGGAAGGGTCCAGGGCAGCAGGGAGGGAAGCAGGAAAGGCAAGGGGGTCAGTGCTATAAGCAAGCAGCATACGCAGCAGTCGAGAAGATAACCGCTAAGGGGAGCACTACAAATACGCAGGCAGGGGTCAAAGACATGGGAGCAGGCAAGGAATGGGAGATGGGAGCTGACATAAAGAAGGAGGTGGCAGAAGCAATCAGACAGGTACTGCAGCAGCACAGAGGTACTTTCGCATACAACTTACAAGAGCTGGGAAGATACAAAGGGAGAGAGTTGGAGTTAAACTTAACCACGGAGCTGCCCACTTATCAGCGCAGGAGGCGGATGAATGCGGAAGATGCGGCTATCTGCAAGGAGAAATGCGCGGAGCTGCTGGCAGCAGGGATAATACGTCCGTCAGAGTCGAGTTATGCAGCAGCCACGGTAGTAGCTGTCAGAAAAGACATCATGGGGAAGGTGGTAGCGAAGCGGATGTGTGGGGACTTTAGGGACCTGAACAAGATCACCAGCCCAGACCGATATCCTATGCCGACTGCAGATGATATCTTCGATAAACTAGATGGAGCAACGATCTTCTCTACCCTGGACTTACGACAAGGATTTAACCAAATCGCTATCAAGGAAGGGGACAAGCGAGAAACAGCCTTTCACGGAGTGGATGGGCTGTATGAATACAATGTGATGCCATTTGGGATATGCAATGCGCCAGCAGTATTTCAACGGGCTATGGATCAGGTGCTGAAGGGAACCCCAGCAGCAGCCTGTTACATCGATGATGTGCTCATCTTCAGCGGGAGCGACGAACAGCATGTACAGGACATGAAGCAGACTCTGGAGGCGATAGCAGCTGCAGGACTAACATGCCACCCGGACAAGTGCAAGATAGCCCGCCGTACAGTGGCGTACCTGGGGTTTGAGGTGAGGGGGGGCCGGCTGGCGATACAGGAAGCTAAAGTCAAGGTGCTGGACGATTTGGCTGCACCAAAGGACAAATCTGGGCTAAGGGCACTTCTTGGCTTCCTGAACTATTACAGGAAGTTCGTGCCGAATTTCAGTCGCCGAGCGCACGCCTGATACACGCGGAGGGAAGGAGAGTAAGCTCATCACATACGCCAGGAGGAACAAGGGTTAGGGAGGGTCACTTGCTGGAAGAAAGGGGACAGAAAAGTGAGAAGGGTGGAGGAGAGAAAAGGGAGGGAAGGCTTCAATGAGAAGAGAGGCGCAGCGGGACTTGCATCACGACACTTTCCGCTCCCCATTACCCCTTCCCGCCTCCCCGTTTCCCCTTCCCACCTCCCTAATTCCCCTTCCTGCTCCCCATTACCCCTTCCCGCCTCCCCGTTTCCCCTTCCCGCCTCCCCAATTCCTCTTCCCGCCTCCCGTTTCCCCTTCCAGCTCCCCATTTCCCCTTCCCGCCGCCTCATTTCCCCTTCCCGCCTCCCCATTACTCATTCCCACCTCCCTGCTTCCCCTTCCCGCTCCCCATTACCCCTTCCCGCCTCCCCGTTTCCCCATCCCGCTCCCCATCTCCCCTTCCCGCCTCCCCATCACTCATTTCTTTGAACCATTTTCGTCCTTCCACCTCCTATGCATCTCCTTTCCCTACCTATGCATCAGCTATCCCTACCTATTCATCTCTCTTCCTTGCCTTCGCATCACCTCTCATCCCATCCCCTTCAAACCCCTCTCATCCCATCCCCTTCAAACCCCTCTCATCCCATCCCCTTCAAACCCCTCTCATCCCATCCCCTTCCAACCCTTCTCATCCCATCCCCTTCAAACCCCTCTCATCCCATCCCCTTCAAACCCCTCTCATCCCATCCCCTTCAAACCCCTCTCATCCCATCCCCTTCAAACCCCTCTCATCCCATCCCCTTCAAACCCCTCTCATCCCATCCCCTTCCAGCCCCTTTTGATCCTCTTTCAGTCCCTCCCACCCCGGCAATAAAATATCTAGAGGGTGTGTTGAATCGTATGCATTCCCCCTAATGCCCTCCTCCCTGTACTGCCGATCTCCTTATTTGCGTGACGTTCACACCCACTCCATCCCATCCTGGCCCTCCCGTACCCTTCTCATCGTTCCCTGCATCCTCAGCATCCTCTATTGACGTCCCCAGCTTTTACTATGGAAAATGGGTTTCCAAATAATTCTTTTTTATGTATTTAGTGTAATGGGAAATGAGAAATCGTTACACCAAACTTGTTGAAGTGCAGATACCTAAATGGACAATGAAACTCATAGAAGTTCCTAATATCGTACGGCTAAGCGAGCTCGACAACACACAATTGGAAGTGTATGCATGGGGGTTGAATCACAATTAGAAGCCGTCAACTAAGCAAGATGCCGCACGTGCTGTAGGGTTTGCTGTCGCATGCCTGGCATTGGTGTGTAGCAGAGGGGAGCGAGAGTGTGGGCCGCTTGGTGGACCTGCTAGTGAGAGGAGTGGGGGGATTGGGACGGAGGTTGTGGGGGTCTTGTGCCTGAGGAAGGAACACTGGCAGAGGCAGCAGGGGCAGCTCCGGCAATGGCAGCAGCAGTGACAGTAGGGGTAGGGACAGAAGAAGTAGGCGCAAAGAAAGAGGTGCACGAGTGGCCGCATTTGTGCCTGAGCCAAAAAAACAGGTACGGAGCAAGGAAAGGGTGGGCATGAGAGGGGTGGGGATGGGTGTGGGCATCGGAAGGTGGGCATGGAGATGGGAGAGCGTGGAAGGGAGAATGGAAAGGAGGGAGTGGGGCCCATCACGAACAATGGAACCACCCTGTAAGGAGGGGGAGCAAGGAGGGGGGAAGAAGGGGAGAAGGGGGGAAAATGAACGGGTGAAGGGGGGAAATGAGAGGGAAGCAGGGGAACTGAGAGGGAGAAGGGGGAAACGATGGTGAGCAAGGGGGAAATGAAAGGGAGTAGGGGGGGAAATGATAGGGAGAAGGGCGGGAATGAGGGTGGGAAGAGGGCGAAGTGAGAGGGAGAAGGGGGGTAAGTGAGGGGGAGCAGGGGGAGAACTGAGGGCGAGAAGGGGGGGGGGGGGTGAGAGGGAGCAAGGGGGGAAATGAGAGGGAGAAGAGGGGGGGGGGAAGAAAGGGAGAAAAGGGGGATTTGAGAGCTAGAAGGGGGGGATTTGAGAGGGGGAATGGGGACAAAATGAGATGGAGCAAGGGGGGAAAGGAGAGTTGAGAAGGGGGGGAAATGAGGGGGAGAAGGGGGGAAGATGAGAGGGAGAAGAGGGGGAAATGAGAGGGAGAAGGGGGGAGGGGATGAGAGGGATGAGGGGGGGGTTTAAGAACGAGAAGGGGGGATATGTGGGGGAGAAGGGGGGGGGAATGAGAGGGAGCAGGAGGGGGAACGATGGTGAGTAGGGGGGGAGCTGAGAGGGAGCAAGGGGGGAAATGAGAGGGAGCAAGGGTGGAAGTGAGAGGGAGTAGGGGGGAAAATGAGGGCAAGAAGGGGGGGGGGATGAGGGGGTGAAGGGGGGGGGGGGTGAGAGGGATAAGAGGGGGATTTGAGAGCGAGTCGGGGGAATTTGAGAGGGAGAAGGGGGGAAATGAGGGGGAGAAGGGGGAGAAATGAGGGGAGAAGGGGGGGAAATGAGGGGGAGAAGGGCGGAAATGAGGGGGAGAAGGGATGGTAATAAGAGGGAGAAAGGGGGGAAATGAGGGAGAGAAGGGGGGGGAATGAGGGGGAGCAGGTCGTGAAATGAGAGGGACGATACCAGAATGAGGGGGAGAAGGGGGGGAAATGAAGGCGAGAAGGGGGGGAAATGAAGGCGAGAAGGGGGGGGAATGAGGGGGCGAAGGGAGGGGGGGGGGGTGAGAGGGATAAGAGGGGGATTTCAGAGCGAGTCGGGGGGAATTTGAGAGGGAGAAGGGGGAAAATGAGGGGGAGAAGGGGGGGAAATGAGGGGGAGAAGGGGGGGAAATGAGAGAGAGAAGGGGGGTTAATGAGAGGGAGGAGGAGGGAAATGAGAGGGAAAAGGGAGGAACATGAGAGGGAGAAGGGGGGGAAATGAGGGGGAGAAAGGGGGAGATTAAAGGGAGAAGGGAGGATAATAAGAGGGAGAAAGGGGGGAAATGAGAGAGAGAAGTGGGTGAAATCAGGGGGACCAGGTCGGGAAATGAGAGGGAGAAGGGGGGAAATGAGGGGGACGAACGAGAGAAGGCGGTCCCGATGAAAGCGAGACGTTTTGACAAACGAAGTGGCTTGTGAGGCGAGCAGCGCGTGAGGCGAGCAGCGCGTGAGGCGAGCAGCGCGTGACACGAGCAGCGCGTGAGACGAGCAGCGTGTGAGGCGAGCAGCGCGTAAGGCGCGCAACGAGTGAGGCGCGCAGCGCGTGAGGCACGCAGCCCGTGAGGCGAGTCGCGAGTGAGGCGCGCAGCGCGTGATGCAAGCAGCGGGCGATGCGAGCAGCGGGTGATGCGAGCAGCGGGCGATGCGAGCAGCGGGTGATGCGAGCAGCGGGCGATGCGAGCAGCGGGTGATGCGAGCAGCGGGCGATGCGAGCAGCGGGTGATGCGAGCAGCGGGTGATGCGAGCAGCGGGTGATGCGAGCAGCGGGTGATGCGAGCAGCGGGTGATGCGAGCAGCGGGTGATGCGAGCAGCGGATGATGCGAGCCGCGGGTGAGGCGCTAAGCTGTAAGCTGGTGAGGCGCGCAGCGGGGTAGGCGAGAAGCGGGTGACGTGCTAAGAGGGTGTCGCGAGCTGCTTGTTCGGCGAGAATTACTTGGCGAGGACAACGAATGGATCGCGGCGAACCCGCCTAATGCTATTGAATGATCCAGACGGCGCTGGAGCTGAAGGGAGTTGGCGGGCACTAGACGGTCCTTGTCGTGACTATGTGTGCAATCTAACACCAGCGACTGTGTAAGTGGTTGCGCTGTTCCAGTCACTGCCTCGTCGCCTCCCGTGTAGTTCTATCGCAGCCCCGTTAGTAACATCGCGACTTGTTTCTGTATCAGTGAGCACCATTTTGTAGTTTGGGTGACGGGAGGGTGTTTGTGCCCTGACAACGCAACCCTCACTGGACGCTTCAAACTTTCGCCAACCTCTCGCCAAGCTCATTCGATCTCGTTGTGGCGAAATCTTTTTGGACACTGTTCAAACCGCAACAGTACTTTCAAATGTATACAAAAGCTTTAATGGTTAGAGAAGTACCACGGTTGTAAAATGGGCTGTTGGGTCAATGGAAGCAGAAGGGGCGGGGGGTGGGGGTTTGGGGGTTTATTGGTGGGTGGGAACTGGATACGAGACATGGATGTTAACGGAAGAAACAGGAGGGAAAAAGGGGCTGGGTGGAGGAGAGGGGCATTGGGGGATTCTGACCAGCGTGCAGTGAGCTTCTTCTGCCACGCGAAAGAAGCGAATTTGTTAGACATCTAAGAAATTCACTTCTTTCGAGAGGGGTCTTGGGAGAGGAGAGACGCAGATTCCGACCAGCGTGCAGCCAGCTTCCGCCCCCCTCTTCCCTCCCATGCCTACTTACCTGCTGCCTCCACCCACTCGCCACTGACTGCCTCCACCCACTCGCCCACTTGCCAGTGACTGCCTCTGTAAGGATCAGAAGAAGCACTGCTGCCTCGCCTTCTGCTGCCTCGCCTTCTGCTGCCTCACCTTCTGCTGCCTCGCCTTCTGCTGCCTCGCCTTCTGCTGCCTCACCTTCCGTTGCCTCACCTTCTGCTGCCTCACCTTCCGCTGCCTCACCTTCTCCTCACCTTCTGCTGCCTCACCTTCTGCTGCCTCACCTTCTGCTGCCTCACCTTCTGCTGCCTCGCCTTCTGCTGCCTCACCTTCTGCTGCCTCACCTTCTGCTGCCTCACCTTCTGCTGCCTCACCTTCTGCTGCCTCACCTTCTGCTGCCTCACCTTCTGCTGCCTCACCTTCTGCTGCCTCACCTTCTGCTGCCTCGCCTTCTGCTGCCTCGCCTTCTGCTGCCTCACCTTCTGCTGCCTCACCTTCCGCTGCCTCACCTTCTCCTCACCTTCTGCTGCCTCACCTTCTGCTGCCTCACCTTCTGCTGCCTCACCTTCTGCTGCCTCGCCTTCTGCTGCCTCACCTTCTGCTGCCTCACCTTCTGCTGCCTCACCTTCTGCTGCCTCACCTTCTGCTGCCTCACCTTCTGCTGCCTCACCTTCTGCTGCCTCACCTTCTGCTGCCTCACCTTCTGCTGCCTCACCTTCTGCTGCCTCACCTTCTGCTGCCTCGCCTTCTGCTGCCTCACCTTCTGCTGCCTCACCTTCTGCTGCCTCACCTTCCGCTGCCTCACCTTCTCCTCACCTTCTGCTGCCTCACCTTCTGCTGCCTCACCTTCTGCTGCCTCACCTTCTGCTGCCTCGCCTTCTGCTGCCTCACCTTCTGCTGCCTCACCTTCTGCTGCCTCACCTTCTGCTGCCTCACCTTCTGCTGCCTCACCTTCTGCTGCCTCACCTTCTGCTGCCTCACCTTCTGCTGCCTCACCTTCTGCTGCCTCACCTTCTGCTGCCTCGCCTTCTGCTGCCTCACCTTCTGCTGCCTCACCTTCTGCTGCCCCCCTCTTCTCTCCCATGCCTACTCGCCTGCTGCCTCCACCCACTCGCAAATGACTGCCTCCACCCACTCGCAAATGACTGCCTCTACTGCAGCTTCTGCCTAGGTGAGGAATAGGGTGAGAAAGTGTTTCAAATATCACCGCCTACTCCGCTTCTCTCACCTCCGCTTTGGCATGTCGCCCTGCCTGCCATCAGCTGAAGAGCCATCCACAACCTCATACCCATGGCTTATGCTGCCTCAACCTGCCCCCCCTCTCACCCATGTGTCGGCCTCCCATGTGTCAGCCTTCCACGTGTCAGCCTCCCATACCTCCCTCCTGCCCGCCTCCACCACACTCCCCGCTGACCGCCTTCACCGCCACCACTGCTGCTGCATCTCACGAGCATGCAATCGTTAGCAAAGTGACATCTGGGTGGGGCAAGAAGATGGTCCTGTGACATCCTGTTAAGCTTCTCTTACCTCTGCCACCCCTGCCGCCACCAGCTAAGAGTCTGACATCTCATAACGAGACCTCGTTTTCGCAAAGACATCGACCCTAGGGCAGAATACGGTAACCTCGTCCGACTTGCCACCTTTTCAATCCATGGTTGGTTGAATATTGGGCGTGACGACACCATCAAGCCAGTGCAAATGCCAACTAAAAGACACCATGGCCCGAGCAGGTGCGTGCCTGACCGCATAGGGTGTGTGCCTGACATAGACTGTGTTGCTAACCTTTAGGTGTGGTTCGGCTGGGCCCTCAATAAATACATAACTCACCACAGTCTTGCCTGCATGGGACCTCCTGTTGGCTTAACAGCTCTGCGTCTGACCTGTATCAGCACCATATATGCCTCGCCTATCCTCTATGCCTGACCTAACCTAACCTGTATGCCCCACCTGGTATGTAAGCCCGACCTGACCAGTATGTTTGACCTAGGGTGTGTGTCTGACTTAAGGTGCATTCCTGACGTAGTATGGTGTGTGCCTTTATCTACTCGCTGCTGCCTCAAGGTGTGGTTGAACTCGCATGTGAGCATGTGAGCATGGCATGTGCTCGCCCCTCAACATGCTTCACGTGCTTGAAAGACCCGCCTCCACGACTGCCGCTGCTGGACTGGAACGGTGTCGCATCCACAGCTGCTGCCTCGCTCCTCCCTCCCACGCCTCTCCCGCCTGCCTCCACCCACTCGCCGCTGACTGGTTAGACTGGTATTGCCACCGCGAATGCTGCTGCTAGCACGATGTCACATCCACAGCTGCTGCCTCGCTCCTCCCTCCCACGCCTCTCCTGCCTGCCTCCACCCACTCGCCGCTGACTGGTTTCGCCACCACGACTGCTGCTGGCTGCAGCCTATGGCTCTGCCATGCCGCCCCGCTGTGTGTCGCAGCGATGAGATGGGCTCTCACGGCTAGTGAAGAGCGGGTGCTGCTGATGTGGGAAAGGGATGGGAGTGGGGAGAGAGAGGGGGCGGCGAAGGAGGTGCTGTGCCATGCTGTGTGCCGCAGTGATGAGCTGTGCTCCTCATGGTTAGTTCAGGGCAAGTGCTGTTGGTGTGGGAAGGAAAAAGGGTAGGGAGAGGGTGGGGAGTGCGAAAGAGGTGCTCTGCCATGCCGTCCCGCTGTGTGTCGCAGCGATAAGTTGGGCACCTCACGATGAGTTCATGGTAGGTGCTGTTGGCGCGGGAAGGGAAGGGGTGGGGAGAGAGTGGGGAGGGGGAAAGAGGTGCCGTGCCATGCTGTGTGTCTCAGCGATAGGTTGGGCACCTCACGATGCGTTCATGGTAGGTGCTGTTGGCGCGGGAAGGGAAGGCGAGCTGGAAGGAAAGGTAAAAGAAAGGGGCGGAGTTCAGACGAGGAGGAGGGAGGGGAGGGGGGGTGGGGGGTGTTGATGAAAGCTGATGGTGCATACTAAAATGTAGCGTTGAAACATTCCGATTCGGCAGCACACTGGGACCAGCAACGCCACTTTGACCATGGATAGGAGACGGCGAAAGGGAGGGATGGAGAACGGCGACTATTATTCACTTTCCGACGTGGCCGCGGTGGTGCCATTTCATCCAACTCGGCTTCGCTCACCTCCGCATTTCGCTCTTCAATAGTCGCGCCTCCCGTTAGGTTTCCCGCGTTATCCGCTTAGAGCTTCCCCATGCCGGTTTCAGCCCTCGGGAGGGAAACAAAACAAACGGCATGACGCGCGTTACACCAAGCTCACGCGCACGAGAGCACAAAGAATCGGAATCCCAGGCGAGGAGCACGGAGGATGGGACTCCTGGCAATGCGAGGTTACGTGCTCCGCTCTAGGCGATGACGCGCATTCTGACTGCTTCTACGGCGCAGCGGTGCGCCGTGGCGCGTGCGTGAGGCAATTTGCAGTGCTGCGAGGGAACGATGGAGTTGCGGGCTCACGCGAAAACAATGGCACGAAGGCATCGCTTCGCCATCACGCTCCTCGCATGCGGCTTCTAACCTTGCAATAACTACATCGCATGCACGCTGACGGCGTAGGGGTCTCGCGAAGAGAGGATCATGGGTCCCAGTGCGCGCAGCGACGTCGTTAAATCTCGCAAGCCGGCAATGCAATAAAACGGCGAACCCTTGGAGCTGTGCATGGCGACATCCTTCGCGGCGCGCTATGGGGAGTCTGGCGAGAGCGACGTTGTGTTGTTAGGTTCGGGTCGCAGCGCTCGAGACACGTGTCGAATGCCATTCGACAGTGCAGAGATTTAGCTGTTTGAGCGGTAGCACTAAGTCCAGTACTAAGGCCAGAGAAGCCAGCAGATAACTTGTCGGCGAGAAGCATTTGCGAAAGTTAACGAATCAGATTTGCATCCAGCAAGGCAAATGTGGACACATCTTTGTAATAGAGCATGCATTAACGAGAGCAGCTGGAACTTCGTTTGCGGTTACAATTTCTTGACGAAAGGAGAGCATTTGAAACATGTTCGCGCATCCTCTTTCATGAGTTCGTGCACCACTTCCCCAGCGCCTGGATTTTGCGCCAAAACCAGCAAAACCTTGCCAAAACCTCCCCGAAGCCAAACCAAAGCAGACCATACCACACCAAAGCAGCCGAGCCGAAACCAAGTAACCGATCAGAGTCCTTCGGTACCAATCAGATTTCACATTTGTTGTTCCCCGAACTCCTGCTCTGTCCTGACTTTCTGTTTCACCAAATTTCTTCGGCCATTATCTCCGATACTCGAATTTTGCCTGAGCACGTTCTAAGGTGTAATCACCAACAGAAACACGGTTTTGCGATATAGTAGAAAGCTTTTCTATTGCATGATTGTATACAGTCACTAAAAAAAATTGCAGCGCTTGCAAAAAAATAAATATGAAACCCGTAGCAAACCTAGATGATTTCCGGGAAGGATCAACCCTAAATACCGAAAGCCGCCCAATATTTTGGAAAACATATTGCAACCCACTTGACAAAAAACAAATAAAACCCAATCGGAAAGGGATGCGAATCGGGAGGCATCAAACCTAAAAAAACAATTTCCATTCCCGTATTTAGGGTTGACCCCTCTCAAAAATGCATCCAGGTTCCCTAGGGGTTTTATTTTTTTTCTGCCATGCCCGAATAGTTCTCGGTAGCGTCGTCTAGTGCTTTCGGTAGCTTTGTTTAGCCGTCGGTTCCGCTACCGAGCACTACCAAGTGAATTATATGGGCTTCATTCTCTTACTACCTAAATTTCGGTTCTTATATCCAAGTCGGGAGGGTAAACTGGATGGTTCTTTTTTTGTCACTTCCTAATGAGTTCGACCAGTGTGAGAAGTGTGACTATAAAGCGACGACCAATCAACGTTGAGAAAGTCCAGGTTGATTACACCTGAGAACGCGCTCAGGCAAAATCTGAGTATCGGAAATAATGGCCGAAATTTCTTTCCGCATGTACCATCCTAAAAGTGTTGCGCGTGTCAGCATTCCTATTTTGGCGTGCATCTGCTTGGATCATGCCAACTAACACGCATGCTGATGTTACCGTTACAGACAAGTATGCTCCCTGTTATGAATGAACTTTCAGAGTGCGCAGAATATCAAATAACGAGAATGAGAATTACAGAATGACGATACAATGGAAGTGACGAGGCCTAAATAGGGGAAGACCTAGCTAGGCGGGGAGGTTGGGCGAGGATGGCTCGGTGATGGTTGCGATTGGTGCGGAGGCGACTCGGGAGTGGTTCAGTGCGACGAAATAGGAAGAACAGGTTCGTCGCGTGACCCTCGGGAGGGCCTCGCTAGCGAGTGCCTCAGTAAGGATTTTGTAAATCCTTACACTCTCCCACCTTCTAACTAAGGCAGCTCTGTACCGACACAGGCCCCACAATAGCGAGGATTCCGTAGATCTCCTCTTCAGCTGAATCTACGGCTGAAATGTCTATGACAATATTTTTGAAAAGGTTGGAATGTAGGCCGTCGATGAAGTCCAATTTCGATCTGACGGTCAACGATGAACTGGCCCAAAATGAAGTAGAAGTTGGAATGTGGGCCGTCGATGAAGCAGATGTGAATCTGACGGTCGAAGACTGACGCGAGAAGGGAGGGAACCTGCTGACGCAAATTCAAACGCGATTGAGCAGGAACCGTTGATCGTGTTGGTGTGATCGCGATCGTCCGTCGTGCTGACGCAACCTGACAAAGTCAGAAAGGACCGAGGAAAACGCTAAGGAAAGAACAGTGCAAAGCACTTTCTCCCCCCCCCCCTCCAAGAAAGGAGTCACAGAAAAGTGTCGCAGCTGCGCCGAGATGAAAACAACAAAAAGAAACCAGATGTTAAGTCCCACTGAGAAAACCATTGAACGTAGAAGTACAGCCGAAAGTGTGTTGGTGTGGAAAATCAATGACGAATCCAGGTATTCCGCGCCCAAAATTCTTCAAGGGCGAACCAGCAAACGTAGACCAGCAACCGCGACGGAAAATGTGCGTTGCTCGAACTGAACTTGTTTTGTCTTCATTTCGCCGGAATTCAGGCGATATCTTCAGCAGTTGTAGCTGGCAACATCTGACGTGGTGAAATTAAATGCTGTTGT